TTTAAAGTGTATTAAAGTGTATTAAAGTGTATTGAAGTGTATTGACGTGTATTGAAGTGTATTGAAGTGTATAAAAGTGTTTTAAAGTGTATTAAAGTTTATTAAAGTGTATTGAAGTGTATTGACGTGTATTGAAGTGTATTGATGTGTATTGATGTGTATTGATGTGTATTGAAGTGTATTGAAGTGTATTGAAGTGTATTGAAGTGTATTGAAGTGTATTGAAGTGTATTGATGTGTATTGATGTGTATTGAGTGTATTGAAGTGTATTGAAGTGTATTGAAGTGTATTGAAGTGTATTGAAGTGTATTGAAGTGTATTGAAGTGTATTGAAGTGTTTTAAAGTGTATTAAAGTGTATTAAAGTGTATTGAAGTGTATTAACGTGTATTGAAGTGTAATGATGTGTATTGATGTGTATTGAAGTGTATTGAAGTGTATTGAAGTGTATTGAAGTGTATTAAAGTGTATTGAAGTTTATTAAAGTGTATTGAAGTGCATTGAAGTGTATTGATGTGTATTGAAGTGTATTGAAGTGTATTGAAGTGCATTGAAGTGTATTGAAGTGTATTGATGTGTATTGAAGTGTATTGATGTGTATTGAAGTGTATTGAAGTGTATTGAAGTGTATTGAAGTGTATTGAAGTGTATTGATGTGTATTGAAGTGTATTGAGTGTATTGAAGTGTATTGAAGTGTATTGATGTGTATTGAAGTGTATGGAAGTGTATTAAAGTGTATTGAAGTGTATTGAAGTGTATTGAAGTGTATTGAAGTGTATTGAAGTGTATTGAAGTGTATTGATGTGTATTGAAGTGGTTTAAAGTGTATTGAAGTTTATTGAAGTGTTTTGACGTGTATTGAAGTGTATTGAAGTGTATTGATGTGTATTGATGTGTATTGAAGTGTATTGAAGTGTATTAAAGTGTATTGAAGTGTATTGATGTGTATTGAAGTGTATTGAAGTGTATTGAAGTGTATTGAAGTGTATTGATGTGTATTAAAGTGTATTGAAGTGTATTGAAGTGTATTGATGTGTATTGAAGTAAATTGATGTGTATTGAAATGTATTGAAGTGTATTGATGTGTATTGAAGTGTATTTACTGTAGCTACAAATCAATGTAGTTAATTACTGCAGTAACTTGGTAAATCACTTATTAAGTGAAATGGGTCTGTTCAAACTGCACAATTGCCGTTTCTCATGTTGACTTGACTATTTAAAGCCATTTAAAGCCCTAACTTGAATCTAATACAATAACTAACATCAACAGAGGACATATTACTACTGTTTCCGAAGCCTAGACGTAATTGGCACGATTTCACTTACAGCTATAGTCTTTGTGTGATCTGCAATATGGAAACAAACTTGGCTATAATATACATGAAAGCAGACGATGGACAGTTTTTATTTAATTATAACAGTGAGAACTAGAAAACTCCGGAATAGGAAGACGACTTTTAGACTTAAGTTTTGCTAACACTCACTTTAAGTCTTTACTTAAATATTCTATGTGTATGCAAGACTGCACCACTTCTAAGATTAATATTCTCTGCACCAATCTAAATCTTCTTTTGAAAAGGAAATTGGAAATCTCCGATATAAAATCTGAAAATTGTTCCCTTTAAGAACATCTTATTACAATTCTATTAAAGGTATAATGATGGGAATATTTAGAAAATATTTTAATATCGATTGAAAGCATTAAAACCTTCACTGAAAATATTTTAATGAAAAAAAATCTGAGGTATGAACTTCTGTGTGGAGAATCATTAATCTGCAGAACGCTTGATCTCGATATCCAAGAGAAATTAATTAATTTAATCCGTAAGTCTGCATAAGATTTACATCAATGTTTGATTACCGAGATTTACGAAACAAAAGTTCAGAATAGATTTGAATAGATTTGAATAGATTTGAATAGATTTGAATAGATTTGAATAGATTTGAAAAGATTTTAAATGATATCTGATATGATATGATATAGCTCCTATAACCAAAGCTGGTAACTTTTAGCTGTGACAGCTTAAATCTTGAACCTGTAACTTTTGAATTATACAACTTAATTCAGAACTGGATAACTTTAGCCATATACAACTTATTATAGAACTGGTAACGTTTGAATGCTGTCAGTACCCAAAGCTGTTTAATAACTATTAGAATGATACAACAATTCATCCAGAACTTGAAGTTTTTAAATTATATATATGATTTTATCTAAATGGGATATCCTTAATAACAAGAGGAGAACGAGCATTTCTTAATCTGGAGATTAAGAAAAAAAGGAGATTAGGCATTGATCTCGATATACACTATTCTAAAGTTTTTAGCTCAGACCTGGTAATTTTGAATAGTACTGCAGTAAGCACGGATCGAGAAAGATACGTGTACTTAAACTAGGCAAGAACTGGCTAGGGGGCCGGGTTTGTGTTTAAACTATCAATAATTAATTGTATGACCTAACTTCATGAATTATAACAAAACTGAATTTAAAGAAAAATTGAAATAGTTCAAATGAACAAAAAACTGTTTGTTCGGTGGCGGCAGCGCCCGACCCCTATAAGTCTGCAGTCCTAGCCGCACCACTTTCCCCTAGCCTATCCTAGCCGCAGCGCTCGGCCCAGAAATTGGCATAACCTAACCTAACTCATTTTGTTAATGATGGTCTATACGCAACATCCCCCCTACTGAACTTTTGACCTACTAACTTTCCGACCTACTGTAATATCAGACCTACTCCAGCTGTTTATTTTGGTAATATTTTGTATTATTTGAGTGTTAGGTAAATTAAGACAATTTCTGAGCCGAGCGCTGCCTGCTAGGATGGGCTAGGGGGCCGAGCAGTGCCTGCTAGGATGGGCTAAGGGGCCGTGCGCTGCCTGCTAGTATGGGCTAGGAGACTGAGTGCTGTCTCCTAGAATTTGTTAGGGGGCCGAGTGCTGCAGCCTCTAAATNTTTATGTTCATTTGAACTATTTTTATGTTCATTTGAACTATTTTTATGTTCATTTGAACTATTTTTATGTTCATTTGAACTATTTTTATGTTCATTTGAACTATTTTTATGTTCATTTGAACTATTTTTATGTTCATTTGAACTATTTTTATGTTCATTTGAACTATTTTTATGTTCATTTGAACTATTTTTATGTTCATTTGAACTATTTTTATGTTCATTTGAACTATTTTTATGTTCATTTGAACTATTTTTATGTTCATTCTGTGTAATGTTTATCTAATTAATTGTCATGAATATAACTTAATGGAGATTATAAAAAAAATTTTAAAACTGAATTGGGGTAGAAAAATAGTTCAAATGAGCAAGAAATGCGTTGATTTAAACTACAGGATATGACGTCATGTCAGTAGTTCAAATGAACAATAGAATTCAAACGAACAATAGTTCAAACGTACCATAGTTCAAACGGCAGTAGTTCAAATGCGGATCCACAGCTAGGGTACGTGTATTGGTGCTATGTAAACGCCTCAACACGGCTAGAGGCTAGAGGCCGGGCGCTGCGGCCACAAGTCCATTTCGCAGCTGTAAAACCACGTACTAGTAGGTCGGATCATCGGATGTGTAATATATAGCGGATTTGGCGTAGGTCAGAAGTGAAGTATAGCGGATTTGCGTAGGTCGAAAAATACACCATCTCGTGACGTCGTCTTAACATTGAACTCAGAACATGTAGCGGCATTCGTTCACGTGCTTAATATTGCGTCAACATTGCAATAAAATATAAATGTGTTCGTAGATTAGATTGTAGAATGACTAAATAGAGTTTAACACTTGTTTAAAATGAATTATCGATTATTTGTTGTTCTAAATCATTGTTCTAAGTCATGATATTGTTTTTACAGAGATGAAAAGCTGTAGAGACATTAATCGGTATTTAATAAAAAATACTAATTTACTAATTTCGTCATGTACAAAATTGAGAGGAGGGGGGGGGTCCAAAAATCGTTCACTAGGACAGACCCAACCGTTCTCCAGGAAATTACCCGTTAACCTCTCGTACAATATGTCGCGCCGCAGCCGGGGTTAGAATACTTTCTGAAAAGCGCCTCTAAAATTAGCTGAAGTCATTATTAATGGTCAGACCTACACTGATGGTGAGATTTGAGGATAAAAGCATTGAATTGTGAAAATTTTGATACTTCACAAATAGTTTTCAGAATATTTCATTGATTTTTAATGTGACAGATGGATCCCATGTTAGGCTGTGTCATCCGTCTTGTGTTTACATTACCGCTCAGAGACATGGAAATACATTATAGTAATTATGCACAGATATGAATGCTAAAATATATTAAATTAGGCTTCCAGGTCGCTTCGCGCCCATATCCGACTTAAACTTTATTTTTTTGCTCAATTATTTTTCGTGGATTTAAAAATAGCTCTATTAAGAATTTTTTTTTAAATTCTCACCATCCAGAAACCTTTCCTGGGATTATGCAAGGTACCATACAAATTTTTGATACAACTGTTTTTACGTTTATCGGGTACAATCAAACAAACAGACGAGCAAAGTATATATATAGTTCCTAAACAAGAAATATATAGACCAGGAACCGCCATATCTGATGCGTCAAATCTGGCAACTGCAGTGGGAGAGGATCAAAACAAAGAATCCAGGGGCAACGCATCATTTTTGAGGGAAAAGGTCACAAGGGGTGGAATAAGAATATATTGCTATTATATTTTCCATATTGACCAGAAAGCCATAAATCTTAAGTATTCGCTCTAACTTGATACTTTAGCTTGTTTTTGTTGGACTGTAATATCACATCAGAGCTTTAGTCCTTTCCCATCAACTTCTGTGGGGGGACTGGGTTTCTTTAAATGCCTCAGATATACACACTTTGCGTATATCTGAGTTTAGCGTTCCTGTATATAGTTCTTTGGTCCTAAATATGTCTAGAAAACTACTTAACGGAAGCTAAGCTAGGGACGGGATCGAAGTTTATTATATTAAATCTACCCTTGGTTTATTTAACTGATGAAATTATAATATTTATTTCAGAAAATATGGAGGGAAGTGTCGGAGTTTGTAAACAGAAACCCAGGCTTTCAGGATTCATTAGATCATACGGAAACGTTAGCTTTAAGGTAAGTTATTATTATATAAATCGTAGGAAAGGATCCGAAAGGCTTTTACGAAACCAAATTGAATAAAAATACCTACTAATAATTTCTAATGGTTGTGATTGTATTCAGTATGATGAAAACTACAAGAAGAGAACAACTAGCCTGGCGGAGATTATGAAGAAACGAAGAAGCGTGGATAGAATCAGTTGGAAGCAGGTTCAACAAGGTTTCAGCACCGTAGGTTCGGATAAACGGAAGATGCTGAAGTCAATCCGACTCCAGGTGCTCGATATGATCGGTAGCGAGCATAGTGAGGAGCAGGTTGATGATGCATGTGTACTCTTATTCAAAGATCTACTTCCTCTCAAGAATGTGAAGTTAGATCTATTAAAGAAGTACAAGAAAATCTACGGTTCCGTTACTCCAGCTCAAATAGAAAAAATACATCGAGCTCTCAGAGAACTAAGAGACGGAGTCCCTGAGGAGAAACTTGAATCCGTTCTTGGAGACGTTGGGCTTGATCCGGAAGCTCCGTATTTTGGATCCAAGATCAAGTTCGTCTACGATCCTAGTCTTCCGTCTGAGGCGGAGATGAGTTATTTACAGGATATTACTCAGAAAAAGTTTTCTCTTCAAACACAGCTGACCTTCAACTATGATTCAGTTCGTTCTCAAACCTCTCCAGAGACCAGCGGGAGCAGGGTAACCCTTGACTGGTTGGAGAACACGATCAAATCCTTTTACGGACCTGAGAACCCCCTTGGGATGTCTCCCGCGGAGTTTGCGATCACGATCATGGAGAAGATCAATTCTAAAAAGTCTCCGGAGGAACTTCAAACCGAACTGTTTGATCTGTGCGGGTTTGACAGGTTCGATATGATCGGAGCTATTCTAGAGAAACGAGAAGAACTCGTACAATCTTTCAAGGTACAGCTTAACATTTTTTTAAAGAAATAAAATGTTTAAAATAAATGAATAATTTTAGGATAATATTAACATTATGAAGTCTGAGATGGCACTCGCTGCGGCTAGCGCAGCAGCACAAAATATGCCAAATAAACCTCTTTATGGATGTCAGGTAATAAATGGTGTTCCCCCCCCCCCCCCACAATGGGGTATCAGGGGGGAGGGGGTCAAATAAGGCTCGGTCGCTTGAGTAAGTCTCTGACTTAAAGTTAATGATTTATTTATGTTGACTCTTCTAAGGCTTTTGATACTGTACCCCATCTGAGATTAATATTGAAAAAATCAAGGCTCATTCTATTGGTGGAAATCTTTTTTAATGGATTGAAAACTGGTTACAACACAGAACACAAAGAGACTTTATCAACATGGAAGGAGGTGCTATCTGGTGTACCTCAGGGTAGCGTTTTGGGTCCTCTTCTGTTTGTGATATTCATCAATCTTATTGATAAAGCTATAGAGTGTGTTACTATCATTAAGAAGTTTGCGGACAATACAAAAGTAGGACACATAGTTACTAATCCCACTGACTCGGAAACCCTTCTAACAGCTTTCAATAATATGTCCAGTTGGTCAGATCTATGGGGGATGAGATTTTACACTGATAAATACAAGGTTAAGCATGTGGGAAGAGGAATTTCTTAATATGAACAACCAGGTCCTATCTAAAACAGAAAGAGAAAGAGATATTGGAGTTATAATCCATAAATCCCTTAAGCCATCCCTCCAGTGCAGTGTAAGGAAGCAGCCAGAAAAGCAAATTGCGTTTTGATCTAAATTGCACCTTCATAAACCTGAACACGAATTATGTTAGACCCGATATTGAATTTTCAACACCAGCATGGAACCCATGGCTTTAACAGGATTAAGAAGTGCTAGAAAATATACTATGGAGCTGTCGTAACACGTCTTTCAGTGGATCCCTTGAAGATTTTTCTCTAATCATGTAATTCAACAATGGATGAACCTGCCATAAGAACTAAAAAATTCCAAATCGGTTCACTCCTTCGAAAGCCAATACACACAGTGGAAACTCCGCCAGTTTAAGGATTAAAAAGAAGGAAACTGAATAAAAGAATGAATGTACCAGACTGGAAGATCCTTTTGCACCTTCATCCGAGTTTCAATAAGGAAGATATCCACGTTTTCTATCTTAATTCTTGACAATAAACAACCCTTTTGCCAAAAGTAAATTTACATTTTAAATCAAGATTCAATTGTATCCTATTTCCAGGTTCAGTACAGTAAAGAGCTAAATCATAACCAAAGCCATGGAGATTGCAGGCAAATGGGTGTAGATACTTTATTTTTGATGGCGTGGGAAATTTTTTCTTAAAAAATACCCCTGGATACTTTAGAAGCTGGCCTGAGATGAACCTAACTGATTTAATAGTCCTTGAATCAATCCAATATCTAACTGTTTCCTGGTTCTAGGTTACAGTACAGAGTGAAGAAGAGAGAAATCTCCTCAAACAAATCAGGAAGGAGGAAAAGAAACTTAACAAGGTATCAACTTGGTTTAGAAAAACATATTTATAATTTTATATAATCTAAATGTATTTTAGATAAATCTCTTTTTTCCTTCAATTAATTTCAATTTAGATTTGAATCGGTTGGAATTACTTAACTGCTGTAATATATCTATATAATAAAACAAGACATTTGTATATATATATATGTTGCCTATAGTCGGCCAAACGACTGGACTGATTGAGCTGTCATTTTTTGTAGACACTCAGGGGTGGTCTGTTATAGGCTAAAAAAATCATTTTTTTTCAATTTTTTATTTTTTTTTTATTTATATTCTTTTTAAAAATTTCCACGGGCAACTCCGGGCCCTTCAGCTAGTCTATATAATAAAACAAGACATTTGTAAATATGTCACTAATAGCCGGCCATAAGGCTGGACCGATAATTTTTTTTGGACACTCATGGATGGCTGGGGGGTGTTTCAGGCTAAAAACCCGTGGCTAAAAAACACGGTTTTTTTCAAAATGTTTTTTTTATTTTTCAAATTTTTTTATTTTTCTCCACGGGCAACGACGAGCCCCCAACAGCTTGTATGTAATATTTCAATATGAGAATCCTTCTCATATTCGTCGCTGTACAGTTCAAACTGAGGCTAGATATTTTGGTTGGGATAACGATTAGACACATCGGCTGAATTCGTTGGTGTAAACTTCTGAATCTATTAAATTGAAAAAAAATTTCTGGACAATTTCTTAAAATCCAATAAGAGATTAGTGGTGCGACTTAAATTAAACCCCAGTGCAGAAGAAAGGAGAAGAAAATGAGAATGGTTTGAACAGATTTAAAATACAAAAGTTTTGACCTCAGGTTTCAAGATATTATGTTCTTGTAGAGTCCATTGAGGACAGTTATTGAAAAATTTTGTTCACAGAAACATTGGATAGAAATATATAAAGCATCCCCAATGGATTTTTCTTAAAACTTTCTTGTTTTTTGTGATGTTCTATTTTTCTTGAGTTTAGAAAATAGCTCATATTTCGGGCAAATAGAAGCTTTACCTCACATTTAGGCGGCTTCGTTTTAAAGTATAAAATTTTTCCGTTTTTAAACAAATATATTATTTATATATTATAACTTAGTATTTAAGTACATATTTATTATTGTGCATAGGAAGAAAGTATAATAATCAAAATTATTGTTGCAATATTGGAGAAAAAAAAACGCTAAATAGTTTGGATTTTTCACATATTTAATATAATTTACTTTCCTAGTTTCTGAACAAAGTATACATATTTTATATTTTCTTGTTTCTGAATAAAGTACAAATCATATATGTCTAGTTACTGAACGAAGTACAGATTATATATTTTTTAGTTTTTTTTTAACAGAATATAAATTATAGATGTTCTAATTTCTGAACAAAGTACAAATTATATATTTTCAAGTTTTTTTTTAACAGAGTATAAATTATAAATGTTCTAATTATATAAAGTACACATTATATATTTTCTAGTTGCTGAACAAAGTACAAATTACATATTTTCTAGTCTTAAACAAGTATAAATCACATATTTTCCAGTTTCTTAACAAAGTACAAATTATATATTTTTTTTGTTTCCTAACAAAGAACAAGTTATATATATTTTTTTTCTTTCTGATCAAAGTACAAATCATATATTTTCTAGTTTCTGAACAAAGTACAAATATTAATTTTTAGTTTTTGAACAAAGTACAAATTGATGAAGAAGATGAATCCCTGGTTTTTAACCCTGCAGACCTGAGGTAAGAATACTGTCCTTACCTGTGACTTGAACTTAGTCTTAGAAAGATTTGAAAATAAGTTGAACTTAGTCTTTGAAAGATTTGAAAATAAGTTAAAATTCAATAAATTACAATGTTTTCAACCTTAATATCTTTTCTTATCCGGCCCATTTACAAATTTTCATAGCTTGAAAGGAATCTTTAAATTCTTCTTTCCATAAAAATTTATTTATTAATCAATTTTATTTTATATCAAAATCAAATATATCAAACTCATTAACTATGTTGTAACAGTACCTACCTAAGTACATTGCTATAAAAAAGATAAAAATTAAACTTAATTAGTTTTAGTAAAACGAAAATTTTAAAGATAATAAACTTGCTTTTATAAAAAATTAAATGTAAAGTTTTATCGAGAATATTATTTATTCAATTGCATTAATTTTGAAACTACTATTAAGTTCAACTTTAACATTTATGAACATGAAAACAGTGGTATGCATTTATGCAGTGCAATTTAAAGATGGCTCTCATATAAAAGATATGATTCTAATTGTGCAGTTTGTTAGGACCTTATTCACTTACAAGATATTTGTATTAGTTAAGTCCAACCACACTTTAGATTAACTTCAATTTAATTTATTAAAAAAATAAGGACATGTTTTTGTTAAGCTACTTTTATAACTTTTTTTTTTACTTGGCATAATAAGATCTTTTACACTTCAGATTATTTCAATTCAATTAAATTTTTTTTTTTAAATTTTTAAAACGAGTTAAAGCTTCGAGTAATTTAATTTTTTCTTGCTATCTTGCTATTCCACTTTCTTCTGGCGACCATTGTATTTAGTTTTGTATATTTGTAGAGTAAAGAGACAGGCTGCTCTAGCAGTTGCAATGAATACTCCGTTGTTTAAAGAAAGAGAGGAGACTCGTGAGCAATCTGGAACTCAGGAACATTATCCATTCGTATTCGACTCCATGTCCCGAGCTAAGCTTACAACAGGATACATCCAGGGAACCAAGATGGCGCTTCCCATTGGGTTCGAGAGGAAGGATAACAAGAAGTACGAGGAGGTTTCTGTCCCAGCCGCCGTTTCAGGTTCCGGAGATATTGGCCGGCAACTCATCCCAATATCATCCATGGATGATATCGGACAACTGGCGTTCAAGGGGATGAAAACGTTGAACAGGATCCAGAGCGTGGTCTACGACGCCGCGTACAAGACCAGTGAGAATATGTTGGTGTGTGCCCCAACGGGAGCAGGGAAAACAAATGTAGCAATGTTGTGTATTGTTCAGACTATAAAACAGCATATTGAAGCTGGAATAATAAAGAAGGATAAGTTTAAGATCGTCTATGTTGCTCCAATGAAAGCCTTAGCTGCTGAAATGGCTGCAGGGTTTGGGAAAAGGTTGGAACCGCTGGGGATCACAGTTCGAGAGCTGACTGGAGATATGCAGCTTACCAAGGCGGAGATATCTGCAACCCAGATGTTGATCACAACCCCGGAGAAGTGGGATGTTGTCACGAGGAAGGTTGGAGATGTTGCTCTCTCCTCACTCGTCCGTTTGCTCATTATAGATGAGGTAGAAACTTCAGAAAATCATTCAAAATCACAAATTAATTTTCTTAGTTCTTTCTTTGGAAGTTAGATATCCCCCTTGTTCCTCCAAAGATTATTTTTTATTTTACTATTGTTAGAAATTTAAAAGTTTTATTCTAGGTTCATCTCCTTCATGGAGATCGTGGTCCTGTTGTAGAGAGTATTGTAGCTCGAACCCTTCGGTTGGTTGAATCCAGTCAAACGGTTATCCGGGTAGTGGGACTCTCCGCAACCCTACCCAACTATATAGACGTTGCCAAGTTTCTACGAGTAAATCCTTATGTGGGACTTTTCTTCTTCGACGGTAGATTTCGTCCTGTTCCCCTCGGCACCACGTTTATCGGTATCAAGGCGGTGAACTCGAGCCGGCAGCGACAGGACATGGAGGAGGTCTGTTACGAGAAGGTGCTAGATATGGTGAGAGCTGGGCATCAGGTCATGGTCTTCGTCCACGCTAGGAACGCCACGGGAAAGACGGCGTTAGCCATGAAGGAAACGGCGCAGCAGAACGGAGAGATTGGATTGTTTGAACCTGAGAGCACAAACGTACTTGGTCAGGCGAAGGTTGTTATGCAGAAATCAAGGAATCGTCAACTTCAAGAACTTTTCCCAGCAGGATTTGGTAAGTCATCCTCCCCCTACCTTCTACTTGACTCGTTTTATTCATTTTTGATCTTGAAGTGTTCAGATTTAAATACTAAATTTAAATATCTTTGCCATCACTAACTCCAGAATCTTACTTTATTAACAGAATTAACAGAATTATGTCTATTCCAGTCTGTAGCTCACAGGGCTTTGAGCTGCCGGCACTAAAAATAAATCTTTTATCTTAACAAAATGTTATTGAAGTTAATACTTAATTGTTTAGGTATTCATCATGCCGGTATGCTGAGAAGTGACAGAAACCTGGTTGAGAAGTACTTCTCTCAGGGTTTGATCAAAGTACTGGTTTGCACTGCAACCCTGGCCTGGGGAGTAAATCTTCCTGCTCACGCAGTTATTATTAAAGGAACTGAGATCTACGATGCCAAGCACGGAAACTTCGTCGACGTTGGTATTCTTGATGTACTGCAGATTTTTGGACGCGCCGGTCGACCGCAGTTTGACAAGTCCGGTCACGGTACTATCATTACCAGCCACGACAAGCTGGCACACTACCTCTCCCTTCTCACAAACCAGTTCCCCATAGAGAGCAACTTTATCGGACACATGACGGATAATCTTAATGCTGAGATATCTCTAGGTACCGTAACCAACATGGAGGAAGCTGTAACATGGTTGAGCTACTCCTACCTGTATGTGCGGATGAGGAAGAACCCCCAGGTGTACGGGATCAAGTACCAGGAGCTAAAGGATGACCCAACACTGGAGGCCAAGAGAAGGGAAATCATTACTGATGCTGCACGTAGGTTGGATCGGGCGCGAATGATCAGATTTGACGAGAACAACGGATATCTTAGCTCAACAGACCTAGGACGTACAGCCAGTCATTTTTATATCAAGTATGATACCGTGGAGGTGTTCAATGACCTCACAAAGAACTACATGAACGAGGGAGAGATCCTGGCCATGGTGAGTCAGGCCCAGGAGTTTGAGCAGCTCAAGGTTCGTGATGACGAGATGGACGAACTAGACGAAGCAGAGATGGAGTACTGTGAGCTCCCAGTGATTGGTGGGAAGGAGAACGTGCACGGGAAGGTTAATATCCTGCTCCAGACCCATATATCCAGGGGTAGGATGAGAGGGTTTTCACTCATCTCTGACATGACATACATTACAACCAACGCAGCTAGGATTGCTCGTGCACTATTTGAGATTGTTCTGAGAAAAAATCTTCCTCTTTTATCAGGAAGAATGCTCCGATTTGCCAAGTGTATAGAGAGACAAATGTGGGATTTTGAGCATCCTTTAAAACAGCACCCCCTGCTTAGACCAGAGATCGTTTCTAAACTAGAGGATCGAAACTTTACCCTGGACAAACTCCGTGAGCTGGATCCTAAAGAGATCGGACTCCTTATCAGAAATCAAAGTGCTGGCGCTATGGTAAGACGCGCTGCAGAGGAGATTCCGCTCCTGGATATTGATGTTTCTATCCAACCCATTACTAGGACGGTTCTCAGGGTTAGGTTGACTGTACTACCAAGGTTTAGATGGAATGATAAGGTTCACGGGAGAACATCTGAACCGTTCTGGATCTGGGTTGAGGATCCGTCCAATGATCACATGTATCATAACGAATACTTCATGATTACAAGGAAGCAGGTGATAACGAATGAGCCTCAAGAACTCTGTTTTACAATCCCTATCTTCGAACCTCTCCCAACCCAGTATTACGTCAGAGCGATCTCCGACCGTTGGATTGGATCCGAGTCCACTGCTGCAATCTCATTCCAGCATCTTATACTCCCGGAGAGACATCCTCCTCACACAGATCTTCTCGATCTAAATCCTTTACCCGTCACAGCACTGCATAATCCTATATTTGAACAGATGTTTAAATTCAGTCATTTCAACCCAATCCAGACTCAGGTGTTCCATACTCTCTACCACACAGACAAGAATGTCCTGCTAGGAGCTCCTACTGGATCCGGTAAAACTATAGCTGCTGAGCTGGCAATGCTCCGTGTGTTCAGTACGAACCCCAACTCTACTGTGGTCTACATTGCTCCGCTCAAGGCCCTGGTTAGGGAGCGAATGTCCGACTGGGGAAAGAAGCTTGGAGGATTACTGGGTAAGGTTGTGGTGGAATTAACCGGTGACGTAACTCCTGACGCGCGAGCTATAGCGAGTGCAAATGTGATCGTGACTACTCCGGAGAAGTGGGACGGTGTCTCCAGGTCTTGGCAAACCAGGAACTTTGTTAGAAATGTTTCTCTCATTGTGATTGATGAAATCCATCTGCTAGGGGAAGACAGGGGTCCGGTGAGTAATTAATTAGGAAAAATTTAAAATTTGCAAAACATATATAACAAAAATCATAAAAGATTTAGTTATAGATTAATTTTTAAGAATTGCAATATAATCATAGCTTTTTTCAATCTCCACCACTTTTATTGGATATTTTTTTCGTTTCTTTTTTAATTTATTATTTTGTTTTCTGGCATAGTTTCATGATATCCTTTGGTTTTATACAAATTTTCAAAAAAAAAATTTCCCTTGTTTTCCGCAAGTTTTTATTTTTACATTGTTAAGATATTTACATTGGTTTACTATTTTTTGCCCCCCCCCCCCCTGCATGATTTTGATATTTTATAATTTGAATTTTATTATTTCAGGTTTTGGAAGTAATTGTATCGCGAACTAATTTTATTTCCTCCCACACCGATCAGGGTATTCGAATAATCGGTCTCTCAACCGCCCTTGCCAACGCCAAGGATTTGGCCGACTGGCTAGGAATCGGCCAAATGGGACTATTTAACTTCCGGCCGTCTGTCCGGCCGGTTCCGCTAGAATGCCATATTGCCGGGTTCCCTGGAAAACACTACTGTCCGAGGATGGCAACGATGAATAAACCAACCTTTCAAGCGATTAAACAGCATAGTCCCATCAAACCTGCACTTATATTCGTCTCTTCCAGGTACAAAATACAGGGGTGTATATTTTCTTGTAAAGCACTCTCCTCCCCATAAGGAATGTTTTTTTGAGGGTTTATTTAGTTTTAGAGGAAAAAAATAAACCTTTGGGTAAGAAGAAGGAAAAAAACGTTCCTTTTGATGTCAAAGTTTTGATTTTTTTCCCCAAGATCTTTAACCCCCCNCCCGGGTGAGAAATTCTTAATATTTACACCTGACAAATTTATTATATAGGGTTACCTCACAACGGATAAAACTAGGAAGGGCTGTGTAGGTTTGTTTCAGCCTCTTTCTTACATTGTTGGTTTACAGTCATGTAGCTGTAAACACCATTATTAGACCATTTTTAAGAGAGAACCCCGAATTCAACATGTGGTTCGTTATAACAAGAGAGTTTTAGGTCGTCATTAATTTAATGTTTGATTCATTCTTTGTGGGTAACCCTGTATTTATATATATAATAAAACAAGACATTCATATATAGCCGGTCAGACGCCTGTAACGATTGGGCTGAATTTTTTTGTGGACTCATGGGTGGCCGGGGGTGTTATAGGCACAATTCGAAATTTTTTTTTTCAAAAATATATTTTTTTAAAATTTTTTTTCCACGGCCAATCTTTTACAATCAATAATCCATCTCGTAAAATATCCTTACCATTAAATTATTCTTCTGTGGGTAAATTAAATTTGTACATTGTCGATTATCAAAATAAATTTAATAAGTGGGTACAGAAATAATTGTACCAACTAACCCAAGACTTGCTAAACCTTCATTATAAATGCAAAATATAAAGGAAAAAATTGGCGTAATTTTCTTTTTACCTAAAATTTAAGAATGACAGGTTTTTTTTAAAACACTTGTGTTTATTGAGTCAAACCGTGTGATCGATTTGATCATCCTCCTATTTATTGGTATCTTGTGTTTATTTAGTTAGCGAGGTTAAGTTTAGTTCTATGGATAAGATATAAACTATAAGGATATGTACACATTAAATAATGGAGAGCTTACTCACGATGGCTAACTATTCATAGGTGTATTGGAAGGTTAGCCTTTTTTTGGGGGGGGGGGTGAACTTTTGGCTTTAATTGTTTTTGTTTTATCCCCCTAGCAGTCATTGTTCACCCAACTAATAAACGGCATTATGAAAAAATTGTAAATATAAGTAAGGTCTAATTGAAAGAATTAAACTGAATTTTTAATTCTCATAAAAGTTTAAAACTAAGAGTTCTGAGTAGGACAGTTCCCCTTAAGGTGTAGTTATCTGTTGGAATCAAATTTTCCTATTGAAAATGTCACATTCATTAATCCTTGAATCTTTCATCTACCCTTTAAAGGGATCGACCTCATAGTCGTAATTTCAAGCGACTCTCCATTTACAGAGTCCCATGTCCGATTCACAACGGTAACCTAAAAAGCTTTGTCTGATTAAAAAAAATACTAAGATAATCCATGTTTAACTCAATAATGTTAAATCATTTCATTATTTTCAAATGTGTTTTCTCTAATAAAGCTACTTGCGTATATCTTCTGCATATGAAATGGGAAGAAATCGTCAGAATTAACACTTTTATAGCTAGAAAAATGAAGATATTTTCCACATTTTTTATCAGATAAAAGTTACTGTTGGACAGTGGACACGCTCCTCTTTAAATGTAAAGTCACTAAAAATTACAAAGACACAGTCCCTTTAATTCCTCCTGTTCAGACGACACAGTCCCTTTAATTCCTCCTGTTCAGACGACACAGTCCCTTTAATTCCTCCTGTTCAGACGACAGACCCGGATAACTGCTCTGGACCTGATTGCGTTCTTGGCGGCGGAGGAGAACCCTAAGCAGTGGTTGCATATGCAGGAAAAGGATATAGACTCAATCTGTTCAACTATCAAGGATCAGAATCTTAGGCTTACTCTTGCTTTCGGGATAGGAATTCATCATGCAGGTAACAGTTCTTATTATTACAATGACAATAAAGTGAAAAAAATGCTTTTATTGTATTTTAAAAGGATGTATTTTTGTAGAAGTTATCATGACAATGTTTTTTATTCAGACCTTATACAACTGCTTAAATGCTTAAAATTCAGGTCTAAAAGGTTTTAACTATTTTTTCATTTTCAAATAAACTCTCCTAAATAATTCTGTTCTTGTACATGGTATTTTTCTATGCTCATGTACAAGGTATGTACATGTGCAATAATGTGCATGCATAAGTTACATAAATGTACAAAATATCCACAGTTTTTGATCCTAAAATATTAAGTTGATATTAATTTGACCTGATTATGTTAAGGATTGGTAGAGAGGGACAGGAGGACGGTTGAAGAGCTGTATATTAGTATGAAGATCCAGGTTCTCATTGCTACAGCAACTGTAGCCTGGGGGGTCAACTTCCCAACACATCTCGTGGTTGTCAAGGGTACAGAGTTCTATGATGGGAAACTCAAGAGATACGTTGATATGCCTATCACAGACGTTGTAAGTTCATATTTATCAATTTTTATTGAGAGAATTAGGTAATTTTTAGTGTCTGAAATTGGGAAACTTTGAAATCTTGAGGTCAATTTTTAAGAAAAACAGTCATGTTCATATATTATGACTGAATCGTAATTGTTAATGTCTAACTGTAGATGATTGGATTATTGTTTATGTTAAGCTGCAGATGATTGGACGGATATATTATTGTTTTGTTAAGCTGCAGATGATTGGATGGAATTATTATTGTTTGTGTTTAGCTGCAGATGGTGGAATGGATTTATTATTGTTTATGTTAAGTTGCAGATGATTGGATGGAATTATTATTGTTTATGTTTAGTTTGCAGTTGATTGGATGGATTTATTATGGTTTATGTTTAGCTGCAGATGATTGGATGGAATTATTATTGTTCATGTTTAGCTGCAGATGATTGAACGGATATATTATTGTTTTTGTTTAGCTGCAGATGATTGGATGGCATTATTATTGTTTATGGTTATGTTGATTGGATGGAATTATTATTGTTTATGTTTAGCTGCAGATGATTGGATGGAATTATTATTGTTTATGTTTAGCTGCAGATAATTGGATGGAATTATTATTGTTTATGTTTAGCTNGACATTGATAGTTGTGCGCTTGTATCCGTGGAGGATATTAATAATAGATTGCGCCCATTGGTAGCTGCAGATGATTGGATGGAATTATTATTGTTTCTGTTTAGCTGCAGATGATTGGATGGAATTATTATTGTTTATGTTAAGCTACAGATGATTGGATGGATTTATTATTGTTTATGTTTAGCTGCAGATGATTGGATGGAATTATTATTGTTTATGTTTAGCTGCAGATGATTGGACGAGCTGGTCGACCCCAGTATGATGATCAAGGCGTAGCTGTTGTCCTAGTTCATGACGTCAAGAAGGGATTCTATAAAAAGTTTCTCTATGAACCGTTTCCAGTAGAATCCAGTCTTCTCTCCGTCCTGCCTGATCATCTGAACGCTGAGGTAGTTGCTGGCACCATCACCTCCCGGCAGGATGCTGTCGACTACATGACCTGGACATACTTCTTCAGGAGGTTGGTGCAGAACCCGTCCTATTACGGGATGGAAGGGATCAAGGATGAAGATCTCAACAGTTTCCTCACATCCACAGTCGGTAAATGCTTGGACGAACTTGAGCTGTCCTACTGTATTGAAACAGATGACGACGGCCGAGGATTGTACTCTACTGTACTTGGACGAATCTCGAGTTACTATTATCTGGCTCATCAGACTGTTCAACACTTTCAAGATAACCTTACTCCGGAGATGGAGACCAAGGACGCACTCCAGGTACTGGTTGACAGTACAGAGTTTTCTCAGATCCCCGTCCGACACAATGAGGAGATTCTAAACGCAGATCTAGCTAAGACCTGTCCCATACAGGTGAACGCATACACTATGGATTCTCCTCATACAAAGGCGCACTTACTTCTCCAATCCCATATATCCCGGCTCCCTCTACCTTGCTCAGATTATCTCACGGATACTAAATCCGTTCTCGACAATGCACTTCGAGTGATGCAGGCAATGATTGATGTGTGTGCGGAGAACGGGTGGTTAGCCTCAACCCTCCGTGTCATTACTCTTCTTCCGATGGTGGTTCAGGCACGCTGGGAGACAGACAACAGTTTTCTGGTCCTGCCTCATATAGAGCTACACATGGTTTATCTATTCTCCCAGCTCAAGGTCTCCTGTATTCCTGAGCTGATCTACACTGTTGATGGAAACTATGAAAGGTTAGCTTCAGTACTGAGAGCGGAATTAGATGAGCAGGAGATTGAAGATGTCTGGTCTGCTCTAGGTAGGATGCCAATACTTGATGTTGGGATATCTGTCCAGGGTAAATCTGTGCCCAGGACGGAGAGGAACGGGAAGAGCAAGGATTGGATCAAGGTGCAAACTGGATCTCAGGTCTCCATAGACCTAGTTCTCAGACGAGTTAATAAACCGGGTCGGGAGGGAGTTAAGGTCATAGCTCCGAGGTTTTCTAAACCCAAGGATGAGGGTTGGATCCTAGTCCTGGGGTACCTGGAAAAGAAGGAACTCTGTGCTTTAAAGAGGGTCGGAGCAATTCGAGGAACAACACGGCAAAGTTTAGTTATAACTCCGGAGAGACCTGGAAAGAAAATTTACACGCTCTACGTGATGAGTGACGCCTACCTAGGCCTCGACCAGCAGTATGATATCATGGTAGAGGCGGAGGGAGACTCAGATATATTCTACAGTGATGATGAGGAGATGCCCGTCCTTAACCCTAACTCTGGACTAGTCCAGGAGAAGGACAGTGTTGAAGAGAAGTTCGCAGATGTCCAGTACGTGCCAACACCGGACTGGAATGAGGATGAGGATACTGTGGCATCCTGGGAATAAAATAGCAAATAAAAAATGTCGCGTATTCAGATTATCCCAATTTAGTTAGATCTTGAACGAAAACAGAATGCATTTCAACTATTTTTTGATTAAAAATTATTCGTTTTGTTGAAAATATTCCGTAATTATATATATTGAATAACTGTGATATATATTCCTATGTGTGATAAACTTATATTTCAGATAAAATGGGTCGTTACTTCACAGAATCCGATACCAAGGAGAAGATGGAAATATTCAATGTTAAACCCTCAGAAATTAGCAAAGCTAAAAGTTTGAGTAATAAGAACAAAGGCCGCGTGAAAGCTATCAAGTACACGAAGGGAGCCAATTTTATTAAGAAAAGGAAGAGTTCTGATCCGTTCCCTGGACGGAAACCTGTTGATCCTGCCAAGGTTGAAGAGCATGCCAGGTAGGAGCAAATATAGTTAAATAATCATGATTTAAGAATTTTTCAATTTATTTTAGTACAAAATTAGATTACAGATTTTAAAATGAATATTGTGGCCGAAACGCCCAGTCTTAACCCATCATGACTAATCTGACCCAAAATATTGGCGAACAAAATATGTATCGAATTAAATGTTCAATTTATTGCGTATTTTCTAAAAATCTAAAAAAATATAGTTAAATAATCATGATATAAGAGTTTTTCATTTTATTTTAGTACAAAATTAGATTGAAGATTTTAAAATGAATATTTATCCTGTTACTTTTAATATTTTAACAAACATCTCTTCATTTAACTTTAAAAATAAACATGACAATATATACATAATGTAATTATAATTATAATTATAATTATTATTATTATTATTATTATTATTATTATTATTTCATCCTCCTATTTATTGGTATCTTGTGTTTATTTAGTTAGCGAGGTTAAGTTTAGTTCTATGGATAAGATATAAACTATAAGGATATGTACACATTTATTATTATTAAATTACTTAAGAGGTGACAAGGTGGAAGTTAAAAAGATAAAAACAAAATTCAAACAACGAGAGCAGCAGAGACGGGAGCAACATATCCAATTCGCGGTGGAACAGTCCGCCAGGGCAGAGATTTTATTGGCGGAGGAGGCGGGATTCCTACAAGGGGATGAGGACCAGGAGTTTACAGGACAAATCAGTCAGGCGGAGATTAAACGAGCGGTTGACGAGGAATCAGCGGCCAAGTCCTTTGATTTAAATTTACCTCAATTTGGACCGTACAAAATGGCGTACACAAGGTAGTCTTAATTAAATTATAATTTTTAGTCTAATTTAATTTGTATCTTAAAAGCACTGATTTTACAACCATTTCTTAGAAACGGCAAGTATCTACTTATTGGGGGTCGGCGAGGTCACATTGCCGCATTCGACTGGAACTCTAAATCCCTGATGTGCGAGATTAACGCCATGGAGTCGGTGCACGCTGTTCGCTGGCTCCACACGGAGAACCTGTTCGCCGTCGCGCAGAAGAAATGGACTTACGTTTACGACAACCAGGGTATTGAGATCCATTGTATAAAGAAGATGAATAACGTGACACACCTTGAATACTTGCCCTACCACTTCCTATTGGCCGGCGCTAATGATACCGGGAATTTGTTCTGGTTGGATGTATCTGTAGGGAAGATTGTTAAGGATACATATACAAGGATGGGACGGTTGGATGTTATGTGTCAGAATCCATCCAACGCAGCTCTAGTACTAGGGCATAGTAAGGGAACTGTTACTATGTGGACACCAAATATGCAGGTATGTGTAAGATAAAATCCCAGGGGTGTATATGGGGGGAGGGAATAATGAATAATCGGACAAAAAAATTTAAGTTTTTAATCCAAAAAATACTTTCAAAAAGATTACCTAAACAAATTTATAAAATTACACGCCTCTGTACAATCCGTATACATTTTCTTTCAAAATATTTCTTCCATCTGGCCCTCTTTGGAATTTTTTTATATATTTTTAAGACTAAATTCGACCTTTAAAAGAGAAGTAGCGAAAAATGTCAAATAATTTGCACTTCCAAGTCTTACTTGCTTTGGAAGTCGTTAAGGGTAATTTTTAAAAGTTTATGGTATTTTTATCAATATTTTTAGTATATCAATGTTTTCGACATTTTGGTAGACAAACAAATCTTCTGAATATTTACGAGAAACGAGTTCTGGGGAAAGGGCGAAAATTTTCAAAAAAAAAAATAGTTTTCCGGGCTTTTCTCTTGTTTCATTTCACGCGTAGCTTATGACTAAGTTGTGGAATTCAAACATTGACATCCAGGGAAATGAGTGTTGAAGTTCAGTAGAAAATTAAATGTTGACTGTCCAGGAACCGGCCGCTAAGATGTTGGCTCACCGGCAGCCGGTGAGATCGGTAGCTGTTGACCGGAGCGGGAACTACTTGGCAACTTCAGCAACAGATAAAACTCTCAAGATCTGGGATATCAGGGCTTTCAAGTGCTTACAGGAATACAGGGTAGGAGCATCAGTTTTTAAACGGCCTTCATTACCTAAACTTGAAAAGTACAAAAGGGATGTTCAATTTTCAAATTAGGAATCGGTCAACAATATTTTCAATTATATTTTATGAATTTTTCGGTTCAAATTAAACATTTTCCGGGCACTGTTTTCGAAAATAGTGTGAAACTGGTTGACATTGGGCTAAATGCCATCTTAGAATTAATTAGATCGAAAAAATGTATACCACACAATTCAAAATGTTATCATTATTCACCAAAATGATAAATTGATTTTTTTCTCATCCTAGATTGGTAGTGGAGCTGCAAGTATGAAGTTCAGTCAGAAGAACCTGTTGGCCATTACCTTTGGTAACCAGGTGGAGGTGTTCCAGAACCCGACCCAGGGGAATATCATGTACCCGTACCTCAAACACAAGGTCTTTAAAACCGTCTCGGAGCTAGATTTCTGTCCCTACGAGGACGTTTTAGGGATAGGACACGGCTCCGGGTTCTCATCAATACTTGTACCTGGTAGCGGAGAACCTAACTTTGATGCTCTCGAGGCTAATCCTTACCAGACGGTCAAACAGAGGAAGGAGGCCGAGGTTAAGATGCTTTTGGACAAGGTAAGTTCCTTCAAAATCTTTCTTAGATACAGATTAGTCTGGAAGTTTATATTTCTTTGATCATTAATTTTCACATTTTTTTATTATAAACATTTAACATTTAAAGAATCTGGAAGCATATTCTAGCCTGGAGAATAAATTTATTTTTTAATTAAAGTGATTTTTTTGTCATAAACCTTTGAGGACTAATCCTCAACTATTCAGTAATGGATGCATAAGGTTTAATAGACTTGGCCCTAAAACACCCATAATCGATCAATTAATTTGTTTTTGGGATAATACTATGCTATCTTAATACTTTTTAATGATAATTCTTTTACCTGAAAATATTTATTCTTCGTCCATCTTTAGAAATTAACAGTTATATCGCAGATGTTTCCGTTCCCATCGGGAGATTTCCAAAATCTTGACAAATCTGAAACAAATTGAGTGATATCTTTTTATTTCTGGCCTTCCAAAGCCGTTGTGAAATTTATTATTGTAAAAAAAATTACAATTTTAGATTCCGTCTGAACTGATCACACTGGACGGAGACTCCTTGACCGGAGTAGATGTTCCAACCCTACAGGAAACTATTGAGGAGAGAAACAAGAAGATCTTCGTTAAACCTTCAAATATTGAGTTTGATCCCCGGCATAAGATGAAGGGTAAAGGGGGGAGTGCTAAACGACATCTTATCCGGAAAACTGTAATTGCTGATGCTCGTAGATCCAACCTTAAAGCAGATCTGGGTAAGTGAAAGATTTAAAAATTATTGCTTGAGAAAAAAAATTTGGAAAAATATTTTTATTTGATCTTATTTTATGGGTATACATTTTGGCAAAAATTTGTCTTTTTTCCTCCTTTTTTTGTAGTTTTATTAGACCTGAACTCTTTTATTTCAACATGCTGAGAATTAAAGAAGAAAAAAATTCTGAGTAAATAGTATCAAAATGAGGATAATTAACTAAAATATTATTTGAATTTTTTCCTTGCAAATCCCAAAATCTTAAAAAGAATTATACCCCTGTTAATTTCTTTGCATTTTTGACGTTTTCCCTAAGTTAGGCTAGACTAGATGTTATTTTTCTTTTTAGTTTTCCCTAAAACATTATTTACTGACGACTAAGTTAGGCTAGACTAGATGTTATTTTTCTTTTTAGTTTTCCCTAAAACATTATTTACTGACGACTAAGTTAGGCTAGACTAGATGTTATTTTTCTTTTTAGTTTTCCCTAAAACATTATTTACTGACGACTAAGTTAAGCTAGACAAGATGTTATTTTTCTTTTTTTATACATTTTTATTTTTCAGAAGCGCGTGAAGATCATAGAGAAGGTCTATCCAAGAAACCTGCTCCTGTTTACAAGAATGTACTGGACCGGTTTAGATAAACAACAAACAAATTTAATATTTTCAGAAGAGAATGCGGTTGTTCACTAACAGCAGTAACATCAACAGTTTGAAGGTTCAGGTGGCCGCCGAGTTGGCCGGCACGAATTTACAAGTTGTAGGTGTAGCTCCAAATGGTGAGTGAAATTATCTCGCAACTCATCGACTGAATCATTGCTACAAACTAATAAAAGTTTACTTTGAAAAAAATGCATTTCCTTACCCTAAATTCTAGGTTCTATATTCTAGATCTTCTAGGTTCTATATTCGAGATCTTCTAGGTTATATATTCTAGATCTTCTAGGTTCTATATTCTAGATCTTCTAGGTTATATATTCTAGATCTTCTAGGTTCTATACTCTAGATCTTCTAGGCTATATATTCTAGATCTTCTAGATTCTATGTTCTAGATCTTCTAGGTTATATATTGTAGATCTTCTAGGTAACATACTAGATCTTCTAGGTTCTATATTCTAGATCTTCTAGGTTCTATTTCTAGATCTTCTAGGTTCTTCATTCTAGATCTTCAAAGGTTCTTTATTCCAGATCTTTTAGGTTCTATATTCCAGATCTTCTAGGTTCTATATTCTAGATTCTAGGGTTGGATTAAGAAATATTCTTCCTGTTCTGGAAGTTGAAGGATCCAGGTTCTTTCTATCTGCTCCAGCAGCAATATTTATCCTACAGAACGCAGGAGTTCTCTCGGATAAGGGTAACATACTTTTCTAGTTTGTAAAAAAATCAAAATAAACTAATACAAATTTTCCCCATTTTTTTCTGGAAAATGTAAATTATTTGAGGAATATTTACCCCTGTTTTGAATGAACTTTGGTGAGTTTTCTGTAATTTTTAAAATGCATGATTTGTAATTTCAAACCTTTTAAGAATTGTGAATAGGTTTCATACATTTGCCTTTTTTAAACCAAAACTAGAAATCTGAACGCGCGTTTTTGTTGAAAGATGTACTTTTGATTTCTGTATATTTCTACATAGCACTTCTTTTTAATTGAAATAAAGAAAAAGTTGATAAAACTTTGTACTTTTGATTTCTGTATATTTCTACATAGCACTACTTTGTAATTGAAATAAGGAAAAAGTTGATAAAATTTTATTCATTTCACATTCACAGAAATATCTTAATTTTAAGTTTGATTGTCTATTCAGAAGTTGAAGCATATTCTGGATTGATAGAATGGGAGAGTGGAACCCTTTATCCAACCTGTCTGAGCTTCCTTCAGTCTGCTGCTATCAATAAGAACCCGGATACAAGTCTTAAAACTCAACTCAACTCTGCTCTCACTCTTTTAGGAACTTTGTTAATATCTTCACCGATGATAGTTAGTTGGTTGGTTCTTGGAAGTTTGTTTTGTATGTAAATGAATTGAATATTGATTTTATCACAATTATCTGTGAATAATAATTTCCATTTAACTATTTCAAACTATTAATTCTTAACCCCATTCCCGATTTAGTATTTTCACACAAGTTTTATTTGTTTTACTTTACTTATTTTATTTTTTATTGATTTGATTTGATTTGATTTGATTTGATTTGATTTGATTTGATGTAAATGAATTAAATATTGATTTCAATCCAATTATCTTCATGAAAAGGATTAACTGATAATTCTTGAAGCTGGTGGATGTGAGAAGGGTTTTGTGAGAGGAGATAAACTAACCATCCTTGATATCCTGGTCTGGTGCGATCTCTATCCTTTAGCCACGGACAAAATATTCAGGAAATCAGGGAATTTTAATTTATACATTATCAATCCTTTATTTTTCTTTGGATAATTTACTTTTTATTTTGCTTTAAATATTTTGAATTCCTTGGTTTTCTAGGAAAGAGTTGGAGAAGTTTCCGTCCTTAGTATCTTGGTTTGATAAATTATCAGCTCTGGACTGTTTCAAGAAACCCAGTGAGAAGTTTGGTCGAGGTTTGGACGGATGTAAGGGTTCAGTTAGCTCCTTGGTCGGGTTCACCAAGCAAGCTGTAGGAGCAACAGTTCCGTCGGAGCAGGAGTCGGAAACCAAACCCAAAGAGAATCCAGTCTCCGAAGAGGAGATTGCAACTGCTAAAGCAGGATGGTCCCACACTGCTCATGAGGCGAGACCAGTACCCGGAGCTGGACCCGTTCTCCCCGAGGATGGGAAGAGAAATATTATGATAACCTCCGCTTTACCGTACGTCAACAATGTTCCTCACCTTGGGAACATCGTGGGTTGCGTTCTCTCCGCTGATATCTACGCCAGGTTTGCTCGGCTCCGAGGATACAATGTTCTCTTCATCTGTGGAACCGATGAGTACGGAACCTCGACGGAAACTAAAGCTGTTGAGGAGGGTTTAACTCCGCGTCAGATTTGTGATAAATACAACGGACTTCACACCGAGATCTACGAGTGGTTTAGTATTAGCTTTGATAAGTTTGGTCGGACTACAACAGAACGCCAGACAGAGATTGCTCAACAGATATTTTGGGATTTGCACAAGGAAGGGAAGACGAGCGAAGCGAGCGTTGAACAACTTCATTGTGAGCCCTGTGACAGGTTTCTGGCAGACCGGTTTGTTGAAGGAGAATGTCCACTTTGCGGGTAAATATCTTAATTCTACTGATATATAATATAAACCTTCGTTCTCTGTTTTATTAAGATTTGTTTAGATTCTCCGATGCCCGCGGAGACCAGTGTGATGCGTGTGGAAAACTTATTAACGCAATAGAGTTGAAATCTCCACGTTGTAAACTGTGCTCTAAGTGTCCAACTATCAGGACGAGTAATCATCTGTTTCTGGATCTACCTCAGCTAGAGAAGAGCCTGGAGCTTTGGTTGGACAAATCCTCGGAGAAGTGGAGTAACAACGCCAGGGTGATTGCTAAATCCTGGTTGAAGGGTGGTTTGCAACCCAGATGTATCACTAGGGATTTGAAATGGGGAACTCCGGTTCCTTTAGCAGGTTATGAGAGCAAGGTAAATTATTCGTCATTAATATTTCTTTCAAATTCTTTTTTTAACTCGGCAAAACCAATGTGTGTTAATTTGCATAGTGCAACAAATTTTGACGAATCTAAATCTGATACTGAGTATGACTTACTTTGACTTACTAATCTGATCAAACGAAAAAGGTTTTAAAAATGCTATTTTGAAGTATGTACTTGAAGTATTCTGAATAGCAATATATCTCTACTCTAGGTGTTCTATGTATGGTTTGATGCTCTTATATGATACAACAGTATAACAGCTGAATAACAATATATCTTTACTCTAGGTGTTCTATGTATGGTTTGATCAGTATAACAGCAGAATAACAATATATCTCTACTCTAGGTGTTCTTTGTGTGGTTTGATGCTCCTATATGATACATCAGTATAACTGCTGAATAACAATATATCTCTACCCTAGGTGTTCTATGTATGGTTTGATGCTCCTATAGGATATATCAGTATAACAGCTGAATAACAATATATTTCTACTCTAGGTGTTCTATGTATGGTTTAATGCTCCTATATGATATATCAGTATAACAGCTGAATAACAATATATCTCTACTCTAGGTGTTCTATGTATGGTTTGATGCTCCTATATGATATATCAGTATAACAGCTGAATAACAATATATCTCTACTCCAGGTGTTCTATGTATGGTTTGATGCTCCTATAGGATATATCAGCATAACAGCTGAGTACACCTCTGAGTGGGAGCTGTGGTGGAAGAACCCTGATAATGTTGAATACTGGCAGTTCATGGCTAAGGATAATGTTCCCTTCCACAGTGTGGTATTCCCCTCAACCCTTCTGGGGACAGGGAAGGAATGGACCCTGGTAAACCGTCTCATGTCTACTGAGTATCTGAACTATGAAGACGCAAAGTTCTCTAAGTCCCGTGGGGTTGGAGTATTCGGGAATGATGCTAAAGATACAGGGATTCCAGCAGATGTATGGAGGTTAGTTCTACACTTTTCAAGGATATTAGAACTGAACACTTGCCTCTAACTTAAATTTTTTAATCCATCTTTGCAGCCTGATCTTGTTCAAATTAAGAACTATACCAGATCAAATAGTCAATTTTGAAAATAGTTAATAATATCATCAAATTATATTTTATGAAAACAGCTCCAGGAATCCCAAGAGTATTTTTACGAGTGGGAAATATTAAAAAGAGTGAATACTGTAATTGTATTAAAATAATTTTGTACAGAACTTTAAAGAAAATAGAATTGTTAAAAATAAAGGTTTCTGGATGATCATCGAAATCTTGAAAAATATACAGTAAGCTCGTGATCAGAAATATTTCTCTCTCTCCAGGTTCTATCTGATGTATACCCGACCTGAGAACCAGGACTCCACCTTCAAGTGGGAGGATCTCATGCTGAAGAACAACTCGGAGCTGTTGGCCAACCTTGGAAACTTTGTGAACAGAGCAACTAAATTCACTAAGGACAACTTTGATTACACAGGTAAAAATGACTAAGACACCCGGTTCTTGACCATATTCTGTACAGTACGTCGCCCTAACCACATTAACGTACGACAGGGGTCAATTTTCTTGGCATAGTCCCGTCGGAGGGCTAACTATGACAACTCCCATGGCGCGTTAGACTTTTTACAGTACCCGGCCTAATCCTAGGCCTATTTGACCGACCCCACTGGCTTAGTCCACCGTGAAGAAGGAATACCGTAGAGAATCTTAATCGTTAGATAATATTTAAAATTATTTCATTATTCAATTTATTTCCAAAGATTTTAAAAAAGTAAGATTAAGTCTAGTACTGTGATTTAAAAAGTCCATTTTACAATTTGATCCCGTAGGTTTTGATAAAAAAAAAAATAAACTGATTAGTGTTTATATCATTTTCCATTCCATGTACGCAATCATAGAACTTTTATCCCAGGAGGAATTACAAGCATCGAGTCCAAAATTGACTTAAAGATTCGCAGTTATGATTATGATTTAAGATTCTTATGTAAGGAAACTTAATTAAAGTATTAAGCAAATGTTTGCTATTTACTCTACAGAATTGTTAAGAATATGTACTTACACTTAAGAGATTTGAAATCCAGTAAAGGAGAGGGTCTAGTGGACCAATTGTTTAAGGGACCAAAGTATCCATAAGTCGACAGGTCATCTAAGGTTTCAGTAAACCAATGGAAACTGAACAGAAAATATGGTATTCTGTTATTAATCCGATCTAATCTAGTTCCTGAGATGTCTTTGAATGCGGAGGATTGGGAGATAGTTTGTCTGGTGAACAGAGAGGTTACCCACTATATCCAGCTTCTAGAGGATGCTAGGGAGAGAGAAGCAATATCTGCAGTATTCAGCATCTCTAGGCTTGGAAACCAACTCATGCAGCATAATACACCTTGGAAACTTGTGAAGGTATTTTCAAATATGGAAGTTTCGCTTTATTTGTCTAATATTCAAAAGTTAGCGGGTTTTAAATTATCACATAGGAACGTACAATGAGCACCAGAAAACTATAGAATAGGAAGACGACAATAAAGCAATATTGAAGTCGAGTAAGTTATGAAATCATTTATTTAGTGAAATGGGTCTTATACACTGCACAATTGCTCTCTGTTTATTGTACTATTTAAAGTCATAACTTGAGTCTAAAAAGTCGACTTCCTATTACAGAGTTTTCTGGTTCTCACTATAGATGGGGGTTTAAAGGTATCTTGTCATTTTTGATCTTTTTCTCTGAATACCATTTATTTAATTATTTGATCATTCCAGGGAGACGACAAGGAGAAGGTTCGTGCTGGAACTGTTATTGGTATCTCTGTAAACCTGGCCTGCCTTCTATCCGTCCTAATCCAACCCTACATGCCGAACTTGAGCAGGGAGCTCCAGAACCAGCTGGGGATACAGGAGGGATCCTTGAACTACATCCCGGAGAAATTTTCCGTCTTACTACCTCCAGGACACAGGTAAATAAGTACCCAGAGAATGTTTCCGTCCTATTAAGTCTAGGACAAATTTATCTAAAATCTGAATCCTGGAGACCTTTTTAGACTGCCAATCCGGAGCCTTTCTCCGTAAAACTACTTTAAAAACGCAGGTAACTATTTACCTAGAGAACGTCTCCTTTCTATACATTCTTCAGAAGTCAGGAGTTTTTCCGTCCTACTATTTTTAGGAAACAGGTAACTACTAATTATACACGGAGAATTTCTCCGTCCTGCTACCACTAGGACTGAGCACCTGGAGAACTCACGGATTTCTACCTCCCTAAGGCAGGAATTCATGTACCCGGATACCTTCTCTGTTCATTTACCTTCAATAAATCTCATTGAATTCTCTGGAGTATACATCCCTTTATACTACAGAATACTGCTCCGGGTTTGAATAGTAAACCTGGACCAGTTTAGGTTGGATTGAACTGGTTCATGAACTGAATATTAATTCATACTAGCTGCCTCCGCATCTAATATTGTCGTACGTCTACCAAAGTCTAGAAAATTGATTGAATTAAAATAGACTCTTTTGACGTAATGCTTATGTATTCTAATTTGATATTGACAGACAGCTAAGAACAAAAAAATCGGTATCCTTTAACGCCGATATTTGAGAAACTTTGGTTCAATAAAGTTGTTAATATATTCGTTTTCGTAGGATCGGAGAACCAAGTCCTCTAGTCGCGGAGATAAAACAAGCTCTCATCTCAGATCTCAAGGTATACTAGGAGACTGCAATAGATGTTGAGTTTTAAAGGAATGAGGTCGAAATATCACGTAACCCTCCAGTTTAGAGTAAGATCTCTTATTCACAACGTTACCCAAATCCTTTCTCTTTTCAAAAATACATTTTTTTCCACCAACTGACTCATGTTGTTTACTGTTCAGGTTCGGTATGCTGGTAAACAGAATACCCGGATATCTGCGGAAAGTAAACCTGAACCTTCTGCTGAGATTAAACCTACCGGAGTAGATCCTGCTGCTGCTGCCCTCCTGGAGGTTCAGGTTGCGGACCAAGGGATAAAGGTTCGGGATTTAAAAGCCAGGAAGGCTGAGAAGGATGAGATTGCTGGAGCGGTTGCAACTCTCTTGGATCTAAAGAAACGGTTGGCAACTGCTCAGGGGGTTGAGGTTCATGTCCCGGACAAGAAAGGAAAGAAGAAGAAATAAATTTGTATCAACGTTTTTTGTTACACTTTCTCCTTATAGCTTAATAAAATATCCTTTCTGGGTTCCTTAACTACAGGTTTTCTACATTTCTTTAGATGTCTGATTTTCAATTTCGGCCTTATCATATATCTTATATATGTATATACATAAAGTTGTTATCTCTGGTCGTCTATTTGTTTGTCCGATCATGACTCAGGAACCCCTGGATCGATTTGCCTCAAATTTTGATTGAGAAACTCGGGAGACCCACGGGAGTGTTCTTAGCTTGGTTTTAAGATTCTACGTTGAGTAGGTCGACTTTAACAGTGAAAATTTCGTTTCCCGGTAAAACGGCAGGAGTAATTTTAGTAACCTTGGCAGCGCCGGGATCCCAAGATAATAAATATATAAAAATTAATCACTCTGTTTGTTTGTTCGGATACCCGATCATAACTTAGAAAACCCCTGATTTGCCTCAAATTTTAAAAAGGGAACTCGGGAGACCCACGGGAATGTTCTTATTTTAGTTTCTAGATTCTAAGTTGAGTGGGTCCACTTTTAACGGGCAAAAAAGCTAAAATCATAATTTACGACCAAGCGTGGTTTAACGACGGGAGTAAACAAGTAACAAAGCAAGTACACTATAGTGAAATATGGAATCTTATCCATGGGGGGGGGGAGTAAATTCGTATTTATTTCCCCCGGAGATTATTTCTTTTTGAAATAATCATAATACATATAATTTAAAACCAGGCATTATTGTAAGTTTAAGTTTTGTAAACGTTTAAATAAATGATTGAAGGGAATAAGAGTGTAAGAGCGGGGGAGTTGTGGGAACAATATAATCCTGAATTGAGCCTGGGGATATATCAATCATAGATAATAGAATAAAATAGAAGAGACACGTATATCATAATTTAATACTGCGGGTAAACGGCGCAGAAGAGTAAATATAACTTAATATAATCCTGGGCAACGCTGGGTACTCAAGCGAGTATCTATATAATTAAACTTTGTTCATATATACATATTCGCTATAGCTGGCTAAACGGCTGGACCGAATTGGCTTTTTGAGGGAACCCAGGGGTGATCATAAAATCATAACTAAATACCAAGAGCGGGTAAACGGCGGTAGTAACTATGACTATACATAATAATATATATCTGGGCAACGCTGGGTACTCCAGATAGTAATTAATCAAAATCCTTGGCTGTATTTCAAATTAGAAGATCTTCAAGGGCGTATACAGAAATAATTCTATTCCGGGGGGGGGGGCAAAATTTGAACTGTAAATTCAAAACATTTGGCTTCTTGGATATCAGGCATAACCATAAGATACTTTAAGGTACACATACAGTCAAATTACCTTACAAGTACTCCTTCAAACAAAACTAGCAGAAAAAAGCATTGTTTCTAAAAAATCGACTTTTATGTTGTTATGTTAGTGATAATTAGTGTTTAAACTAGAGATTGTAAGTGACATTTTTGAAAATAAAAACTTAAATTCTATGAGATGAAAGAAAGGACAAAGGTCTAGAAAATAATTATGACTTGTAAAAGTTTCTGTTTTGAAAAAAAAGTAGGGAGTACAATTGTAATCTATGTCATAAAGCTCTTCGTTCATTTACATCTTTGCTATGGCTGGCCAAACGGCTGAATCAAATTTTATTAAGGAAACTCATGGATGCCCTTTGGGTTGACATAAGCTAAATAAATTATTAGTTTTTTGTTTTTATTCGATTTTTAAATTCCACGGGCAACGCCTGGCACTTCAGCTAGTTTGTAATAAAAAGAAATATTACGAAACAGCGGTGCATGGCAATGAATAAAGTAAATTATAAATCCAAATAAAAACAAAAAATGGTCTTTTACTACCTCCAAACTCAAGCCAAGCCAATGCCAAACATTAGGATGAATGTGCATTCTAAACAGTTTTTTCATTCTGACTTCTGTCATGGTGGTTCTGGTTCACTAATACAATCTTCTTAATGCACTGAATGAACAGCAAACTATTTTTTTTATGATCTTCACTCTTGGGTTTAAGATTTGAAAAGTGTGAAAGCTCTGAGTTCTAGGGGGGGTTACTGCCCCCCCCCCTGTATACTCCCTTGCCCCTTGTCCTCTCAAGATCAATGAGGACCATGATCAATCTCACACTTGTTTTCTTCTTTTTTCTAAATGTTTGATGATACTTAGTGTTCAACCATTTTAAGTCAGTAATGTTCTAAAATCAAAATATTTTTTTCTCTAGTTAAACTGAAACTTAAAATTTTAAATATTTTTTTAACAAACCTTTACTACATGTAAACGACACGTGAATTTTTGAACTTGTAAATAAAATCTATTTTGAGTAAATTTCACCTAATTGGTCAAATTTAGTCAGAATTCAAGATCATTAAAAATGTCTTGAAATTGGATGACTAATCCAATTCCAAGGCATTTTTAATAAATATTTGTTAAAAAAATATTAAAATGTGTAAAATGTCAGCTGAAATAACTTTTAATTATATTTGCGATTGTGATTTTATTCTGATGTTTCATCCGAACGAATTTCAATCGTATGATGCAAAATTACGTGCGAAATATTTCCGTTTCAATATGAATTTGAATATATTTCAATGAATTCTGAAAACCAAATGTATCTCATCGAGAACGGATTTTCAATATATTTATGATTTCTTTTCAACTTTTCAACGTTTCTCCGGTTTATCTTTTACAAAGATTGCTTTCTCCAATATGAGTCATGTTACGGCATTGTGTTCAGTTTAAACCCAACCCTTGAGAATAGAAACCATCCTTCTTATTCTTCTTGTGAAGCTCGATATTTCTCCTCCTATTTAAAACCTTTCAGTTCAAACAATTCTTGAAAAAATCTTATTCTGTAAATCCAAACCTTACTTTAAAATGTAAATGTGAAAAAGCTTGAAGGATAATGTCAAGGTTTTTCAGATTATCTGGTTTAAAGGGAATGTAAACGAAATTTCATGTGACACTCCATGCAAAGATGACAATGCCCGTTCATAAAGGTACGATTTCTTGATGGGTTTGATGAAAGATCGTATCTCGACTTGGTTTACTCCGATACAGATTTAGTTAGTTAAGTTTCGCCCGATGCATTTTGTTACAAGGACCCGGACCTGGTCATTGAATATGATAAAACTGTTTATTTTGAGGATTCTAATTCTCAGTTTACCCACTGACTCAGGTATCACAGTAAAACAATTTTTTTCATGAATTTTACAATTCTGGAAAGCCACCGATTTCACATTTGTGCTAATTCATCAGTAGTTGTACAAAACCTAAAAACTTTAGTACGAGTACATATACCATTGTACAATGCGCCCTAAAAGTCTAATTTTGAAAAATTTCTATTTACCAAAAACCTTACGCGGGGTTCAATGGATACAAAAAAACTAAAAAGCCAAATATATATATATATCAAGTTGTTCAAAGAATTTTGAAAGTTAAAATAAATTCATAACTTTGTATTTTTACATGAAACAAACAGACAAGCCAAATTGTGGGATATAAAAACTACTATTAGACTCAAGTTATCATTTTCAATAGTCCAAGGAGTACGTACAGCTCAAAATCTTTAATATTTTTACATAGTAACTTTTATTTTGGTTGGATTATCTGTATACCTTATACAATTCAGAATATCCATTGGTATAATGTTTCCTTCACCCCCTCCCCCCCTAAATANATAACAATTAGATTTTGAAATATTTTAGAACAATAACAATTAGATTTTGAAATATTTTAGAACAATAACAATTAGATTTTGAAATATTTTAGAACAATAACAATTAGATTTTGAAATATTTTAGAACAATAACAATTAGATTTTGAAATATTTCAGAACAATAACAATTAGAAAAGGTGTGAATTTTCCTGCTATCATTAGAAGTTCAATCATTATTTTCCTTTTGTGGGGGGGGGAGGGGGTTGATAATATACCTCATAGGGAAACTATTTTTCGTTCAGCCAAGTGAAAGAAGTATTATTATTTTTTCTCTTCAAAAAGAAAGTAAATAAACGTTCATTTCCTTTTTCTCTATTGAATATAGATCCATTGTAGTACAACACTTACACTCTGTTCAGACCTTCAACGAGAAATGAAAAATATGAATAAATTCGGATTTATTTTTTTTTAATCATTCATCAATTCTATTTTTCTAGGGTGTACTTTTTCATTCCTTAATTATTCGGGTGAATGAAATCAAATTACTGAAGTTTTATTGAACAAGAAAAATAAAATTTGAGGAAAAGTAATTTTAAACTTAGTTTCTGTGGCTACCAAATGTCAATTGTCGATAGAAAGTTCATTAGTTGTTTTATCTAATTGGAAAAATCTAGATTTTTAGATCGGAACTATTGATACTGTTAATCCCTTCAGATAGCATTAATCCGTTGTTCTTCGAGGATTAAGCTATTTCTTTCTGGATTTCTTTTACAGCACGGTAGGAAGATAGAAGCCACCAAAAAATAGTTTTTCTTTTGTCCTGGGGTCTATCCGTTTTTCATGTGTATATTTTTTCTACAATTAAAAAAATAATATTTTTTTCCATCCAGAAAAACTATTATGAATAATGTTTTGATAATGTGAGTATTCAATCTTTTATTATATCATTTATTATCTAACTGCGGTGGTTCGTGAATAAACACCTACATATAAACATTAGTTTTCCATTTCCAGAAAAAAAGAAAAAATATGTTCAACATTTTTGTGTCAATAAACGTACAATATTTTTTCTTTCCAGATAAGAAAAAACGGAAACCCTGGTTTCCTCATGTAAGATCATTTTCTTTCTAGTCCTCGTAAAAATCATATCCATAAACTTGGAATGTTTTTTAATACTTCAAAACGGATGAAAAGGTAAAAACAAAAGAAGTTATGTAAAAAGAGAAGTCTTTGGGGGGAGGTGTTCTAATTATATTACAGAAAGGGGGTGGAGGAAAATGAAGGGAGGGGGTGGATGAACAGAGGGGAGGGGAAGGAGAAGATTGGTTGGGTGTTAATCTAATAAAGAAAAAACATGAATACAATAACAAAGTATATTTTTGATATTTTCTTTACAAACCATGGAGAATCCATATTATAAACATTTACATGTTTTATTGAGAATTTCGTGATTGCCTGCTAGTGCAAGAATATTAAATGTAATTTGTGTGACGGTAACGACTAACGATTCTTATACATGCATGTTTATTTTGTGCAAAATATAAAAAAAATGCATTTTTTTAAATCCATGACGTCATTTGATACCGACCACATAGTTTCGTAAATTACATATTTTAATGAGAGATTAAACTATGATTAACTTTGATGGAAGTTAATTTTAGACTGACTACTACAGGTTGGGGGGGGGGTTAGGGTCTGGAAATCCCCCCTACCCACCTCCTTTAAAGGTCTAAGTCAGGTCTTTGCGATGAAAAGAGATGACATCCTCTGATGATGATTAGAGGGAAATATCTGTATATTTTAAACCATTACTTTTTCGCGTAATTACAAGTTACCTTTCATTTATAGAGAGGCATGCCTGATTTACAACGGTACACTTTAAACAGTTGTATGGTCATCGAGGACAGTTCAATCCGTGTGTTTATCTCTAAAAATACAGGAAAACTGCCGAGTGTACACTACACTAGATCACTATAGAATACAGTGTGAACTCAACGCAGCTGACTACATATTTCCCGAGAATCCCGAACATTTTTTGTCCTGAACTTGGTTTTAAAAATTTGAACAAAATTCAATTTTAAACATAAAACAGAAAACAAAGTTATCAAAGTCATTATACGTTCTGAAGATTAATAAGGAAAAGTCCGCCATTCTAACTTGATGAGTCAAAGGTTTAAGGGTATCGTTGTGAATCGAACCCGTCACTTTTCAAATGAAAGGTCTTCTTAATTATTCAGCTACAGTCTTTAGAACATTCAGCATGTCATGTCGCTTATGACCTTATTCTATTAACGATGAAAACTTTTGAATGAATTTGTATGTTTCATACATTACATGTCAATTATTTAATAACGAAGTGGAAGAAAGGATGGTAAGAAGAATAATAAAATTATGATTATTCTGTATTAACTTTATTCAAATCATAAAATTAAAAATTGTAAAAAAAACCGATTAACGATTACCGGGTTATCCTCCAAGCTTCCATTTTATTGAATTTCGATGTACGTAATACGTATGCATCAGATTAACCTTTCTAAAAAATCGTTAGAATTGATTTAATTTAAAACACAGAATATCGAGGTTAACGCACGTTCAGTTAAATATCACGCGTATATATTTGTAGTAAACTTGATAATTGCAGTGATTGTAATATTTTTTGATAACACAAAAATCAAATATTTTAAATGTCAAAGTTGAATTTTTCATATGACAAAGAAGGTTTTCGTCATTTGTAATCCAATTATCTCTGCAACCAATGTCGTAGACCTTAGATATTTCAAACTATGAATCCTGTTCGATCAAATAATCCAAGTTTGAATTGTCAAAAGTCAACACCTTCAGTTGCAAAGATATAGGAATAAGAAAACTTGAGTTTTGGACAAAAAATAAAAAATTAAGTAATTTATTATTTGCAATTTTTTCTGGTTTACGAGTTGTATTTCTGTAGGATACTTGGATACCGATATACGATGGTATATCCCGGGGGGAGGAGGGGGATACTGTAAAGGGAGGAGGGGAGGGGGGGAGACACTAGTTGCTGGAGGCCGGAATCCTCTAGTTTTAACTCAGTTCTCTGTACATTGTTGCTCTTTAACCAGTCTTAATTCTGCAGCTCTACTTACACAAGTACAGCGTACAGCGTACAGCGTACAGCGTACAGCGTACAGCGTACAGCGTACAGCGTACAGCGTACAGTGTACAGCAGACGACTTAAAATTTTTGGTAAGTAACTTCAGTAGCTTTTATCCTAAATTTTATGGAGAAATTTTTTTTATTATAATAGAAAACATGGACTTTGATTATTCATACCACTTTTGATAAGAACAAATGTGGTACGATAGTGTATTTTTATTTATTTTTTAATAACTTTAATTGAAATACTGGAAGAAAGTCAAACTCCAGAATTGTCAAAACAAACCTACAAAATTCTTTGGAATTCATTCCATCACTATTCTTTAAATATCACTTTTAAGAAAAGAAACAATGAAAAAGTAACTGGATTTATTTATAACATCATAAAAATTATATCCTGTTATCTGTAGTTCATTCAGTACATTATAAAACTTTGTTGTCTAGTGTCACAAATGAGAAGTCCAGTTCAGAAGTTGTACTTAAAACTATGATCAAACATGTTCAAAGTTTGAAATATCAAAGGTTTAATCCATCAGGTTGCAAAGATGCCTTTTTAACTTGCTGTAATGACGTTATTCTTACATTTGTATGCAATGTACTCTTTTATCGTTGCATTATGCAGTAAAATATAAAACACAATACAATGTACAAATTGTGTCCGCTGCAATGTTTGTGCGACCAGCTGACAATTTCAAGCAGTTTAGAATTCAACCATTTCAAGAGGGGTTTTATTAAGCGTAATTTCAAGTGACCATCCATGCAAAGATGGCTATGTCCTCCCAACGATACCCTGGAAACCTTTCTCATAGTCGAATTTCTAGGTTTTCAAAGTGTCTAATAATATCTAATTTCTATATGGTTTCCTGTAGTTGAAATGTGCAATTCTCTTTTGTAGAGAAGCCACAACTGAATATAGTCAGTTGTCAAATCTATAAATATGGATATCTTATTCATACTTGATCAGACAACGATTAAATGGCAACTTTGCAAATTGAACATTGGCCTTTTAGCATGGAGGGTCACATGAAGTTAAGCTTACAATCCCTTTTAGTGATCTACAGCCAGGGTGTGTAGACCTATAGGGTAGGACAGATAGGGTTTGTTTATATTTGACATGACGTATTAGGACTGCTCCCTGCTCAGGGACTGGTTTATCGGAAATAAGGAAAAGTTAGTAAACGTTGATTAAAGCCCGGCCTAACATATATTTCACTAGAAGGCGATTGTTCATTTGACGCACTGTCCGGTTTTGCATTATATGTTTTTATGTGTACTAGTGTACTGCTTGCTCCAGCAGGTTCACAGTTGGCATGGTATTTCTATCTATGCTTTACAATATTTGTTATTATCAATTTTAATTAAGCTTTGGTCCTTACATTAGTTCTAAACACATTGATCATTGCAAAAATTAAAGCCTTAGAAGCAATATAAACTAAGCTTTTAATGTAATTTATTTATTTATTTATTTATTTATTTATTTATAGAGGAATAAATGTGAATTTTCTTTTTTTATGAGCTTTTATGTTTTATATAAAAAGTTGTGACGCTAAAAACCGCAAAAAAATATCATCTCGCACATTTCCCATCGGGCGCAAATATATGGGGGACGGGGGGGAAGCTTCGTTACAAATTGTTGCATACGCCCTTGCTGACGACGCTTTTCTTCTCATTTTTGATAAAGAAAACTGGAATATTCTAGAAGGAACTCCAGATCGATTGTTTGAAATATATGCGTCATATGAAGACCATATCTGTCATAAGAGCTGACTGTTTTGCGTACGTTAGTAGGCTAGACCAAGGTAATAAGGTGAGGAAAGTTAATTGCTGTTGCATATTCTCTGCGTAGATAATGAAATCAGTTCTCTCTGGGCGGTGTTTGTAAACAAGAATAGATGCATAGTTACTCTATTATCCGAGGAAGGTTAAAGCACTTAATTTTGATAATTCACATAATAGTTCCCTATGACCAGAATATTTTATTGATTTATTATGTGAAAGATGGATCTCATGTCAGGCTGTGACATTCGTCTTGTGTTTACTTTACCGCCCAGAGACAGTACACAGCAGTAATAAAAATGCGTACACCTCTGAAATAACTCTCTTTACATTATAATTCTCTGGCTAGAGCAAAGAACAATAATGTATTAATGAAAATATTTTCAAATATTGAATTAGTGCCAGATATTCCTATCTGCACAATGTTGGCTTTATTTATGACAGAAACCAGCTGGTCAATATTAAAATTATTTTTCAGACAGAATATTTCTTTCAAAAGTACTCATCTGAAAATATAATTGGTAATTTAACTTTTTTGGTTCAGAAACAGCTTCTTGCAGTTGACATGACAAAAAAATTCTCAAAGAAAAATTCTTTTATTTGAAATAAACTTTCTTAAAGTAAAAAATAAGTTTCTAATATTTTATTTTGTAAGAAAGGTTCAACACACTATACAAGTTTTCGAAACTTCTCAAATACAATTGTGAAACATCTATAAACCGTTTGTGCTCGACTTCAAGAAAATGTCCGCCTGAAACCTGAAACCTTTATCTGAGAAAGTTAGACATTCCTAATTCATAGTATTAGACAAATAACGTAAAATTTTTTATCCTCAATGCAGGGGACATTAGTTCCAAAACTAACACTTGGCCCATTTCTGACACTAATGGGCACACATTGATAGACTTGGTTTTTAGGATCCCAGCCTATATCGAGAGTAAAAGTCGATAATTAAAACTATAACCAACATTTTATTAAGCATGACTAGGACAACAATTCCCAAGTTAAAACTATTTGCTGGATTCAAAATTATAAAAGGAGTTCTTTTTATATTAAAACCAGGTTTTCCATTTTTGAACATATCCTGAATTTGAATCATTTGTCGCGTTTTCGAGACAAAACCCACATTCCCGTTTTTGAGTATAATCCTCAATTCATAACAAAACTCACTTTCATAACTTACAAAATAAATCAATGAAAGTAAAAATTATCCTATGATAAATTTATTGCTGAATTATTTCTAAACTCTTAGGTTCCTTATTTTACTTGTTAAATAAGAGAATCAAGTTTATTTAATTTCCCGCATTCTTAAAAAACAATTTCCCATATTTCTAGTTAAGTCGATATATTGAAAAAATAATATTAAAAATTTTGATTTCTCGACGATTTTAAATTATAAAAGAGCAATAATTTTTTTATACTTTGTTTATATTTTACCTTATCAAAAAATCCTTGTTACGTAAGTGCGTAAATGCTTGAAAATTGACATTGATATGAATTCGAGTAATTGTCTCAAAACCAGGATATGTTCCGAAAACGCGATTACGCTGTAATGCGGTAATTGTTCGAAAATGAAAACCAATATCATCAAAAACTAATTCTCACACCTTATGATTAGTTTAAAGTGGACATTTCATGTTTCAATAATTAGTTTTAGCCATTTGTAATAAATGTATGGTGAAGTTTGGTTCAACTAGGCTTGGATTTAGAGATATATACGCTTGAAAAAGATAACTTTTCAGATTTGGCCCATTTCTAACACTTAGTGATATTTCATAAAATTTCAAAAATAATTGAAAGAGAAAGGACGAAAAATCCGCAAAAAATTGTTAAATGGAAATACTGCGAGCATTAACATAGCTTCTCAAATTTCATCAGAACAGCGGATCTTTTAGAATACATAGAATAGAAGAGATTTTTAACAATTTTCTCCATCCATCTGTCTACAATTACAAAATGAGTGTTGGGGAAGGAAGGATTTGACTATGGAGGGTTGACCAAAGTCAAGCCGGTTATCTAGTACAAGTCTACCAGGTTATTTAGTGAAAGTTAACCAGGTTATCTGGTAAAAGTCTAGACGGTTATCTGGTAAAAGTATAACCGGTTATCTAGTAAAAGTATAGCAGGTTAAATAGTAAAAGTCTAGCAGTTTATCTAGTAAAAGTCTAGCAGGTTATCTAGTAAAAGTCTACCAGGTTATCTAGTAAAAGTCTACCAGGTTATCTAATAAAAGTCTATCCGGTTATCTAGTAAAAGTCTAGCAGGGTATCTACTAAAAGTCTACCAGGTTATCTAGTAAAAGTCTACCAGGTTATCTAGTAAAAGTCTACCAGGTTATCTAGTAAAAGTCTAGACTTCATAGTTGAGAAAGTACGATTTCAATCTAACTCGAAGCGTGTTTAAATATAATAAAAACCATTTTCAATTGAATTCTCTAAATATTTAATTAAATTATATTGTATTTATATTCAATTGTATAATGGGGAAAACCCCATTACATTTAGAGGAAAATTGCTTTCGTTTTATTTTGCATTTTTCTCCCAGAATTTAAATTTGTTTTTAAAGGCCCAAAATAATTAAAATCGAAGTAAACTAGAAAAAATAAAAGTCCGGGAACCAAATTTAATAAACTGGGGATGTTACTGAACTACAAACCGCCGGTTCAAATCCTGAATTACCGAGTCACCTCCAATTCCTTACCTAAATCCTATAACTTCGAATTGGTGATTCAGGATTTGAACAGACGGCTGGTATAGTACAACTTCTCGCAACTCATTCAAATCGGTTCTTTTTTGCCTAAAGGGATTGTAAGCCTGATTTCAATAATCATCCACACAAAGATGGCAATGCCCGATTCACAACGGTACCATTATAAACTTCTTCTGATCAAATATGAAATATATGAATGTTATATTTTCTTTAAACTGCTTTTTTCATTTGCAGGTTCTCTGCAAGAGTAACTTGCGCATTTCTTGCTTATAAATAGCAATAAAGAAATTCTCAGAAATAAATATTTTGAATCAGAAAAAACGACATTATCTTCCACTTTTTTGCTCAGATTATGGTTGCATGGGTAACTCGGGAATTGCCATCTTTGCATAGAGGAAGAAATTGCGCTTACAGTCCTTAAGAGATAATACATTTTTTTCTTACTGGATACCAAGTAGAATATCCATTATTGGGCAAGTAGAATAAAGACAAAAGGCTGTTTTCTTTCATGTAGAATATTTCTTCTGTTTTTCATCGGACATATTATTCTTGTCACGTCTTCTAAGTTTTCTTATCCAAACATTATCAAGATACAGCTTTATCTT